CCAGCAGGGACTGGGGCCTGGGAGAACTGGTTTTTATCAGGCTCCTCTTTGCAGCATCAGAAGCTAGAAGATGAATGTGAGCTATATGTGCGAGGCCAGGCCCCGTAGGGAGAAGGGCAGAGAAAACGTGCTGAGGATGTGTTTTCAGCTTTGTACGTGCACGCACTTGTGTGGGTGTATATGAGCATGTGCCCAAAGAAAGGCTGCTCAGGACTCAGCCTTTTTGGGCTGGCCCCAGGCCATCGGAGCTGCACAGCGCTGTGTGGCAGGCCTGGAATTCCCTACCAGGTCATCAAGCAGCATCGCTCCTGTGGCCACTGAGAGGTGACAGTGATGTGGCAGAGCAGACCTCCCTTGGGAAGGGACAGGCACCTGCTGCACTTTCACTTGGGGCTTGACTGATGAAAACAGCCCGCTGCAGACTGCATTATTTAAAATAAAGATTACACTTGTTAAACAATTACAGAACAATTCTATTGCTTAAACTGTAAAGAGTATGTTTTTACTATGGTTGATTATTTAAAAAATAAACACCTATCTCACTATCCCTTATAAATATGGTACATTCAATGTCATGCTCTCCACCATGGGACACAACACAGAAGGCAGTGAGCACTGCTCCGGCTGGTAGCCAGCGCTGTACCAGGGTCACACAGACTCTGATATTCTGGAAATGCAGTGGAGCTGCAGCTTATTCAGTTTATGTAGGTCAGCCCCTAGGTGGAAATATATTACATTCAACATTAGCCTTCAAAATCCCCTGAAGTCATCCATAAAGTACACACAAGGTCATGTGCACATGTGTCTGAGTAATAATGGCTGTGCTCACTAAGTTTGAGAATCACTGAGTTAATGAAAAGTGGGAACTAAAGCAAGTCTCTACTTAGGTGGCTGGGCATTCAAACCACTGCCTTTAGGGAGATTCTCAGTGCAGGAGAGCAGAGAATTCTATAGGGCTCTGTTTCCCTGCAGGCTTTACTCCTTTCTGCTTTAGTGTAAAGCAAGGAACCTGACTGAATAGTAATGTCTTTTTTTTAGCAGCTTTGTTCTGTTCAACAAGAGCCTCAATATGTAGTTCAGGCTGGCTGCAAACTTACTATGTGGCCCAGGCTGGCCTGAATCTTGCAATCCTTTCTACCTTTGCTAAGTGCTGGGATTATAGGCATATCCCACTACTCCAGGCTAAGAAAAATGGCTTTTTGTTGGTGGTGGTTGTGAGGATTCTACTCAACTGTGAGGCTACAGCAGCAGGGTTAGAGGGCCCAAATCCAAGGTAATTCAGGAGCCTAAGAAGGCTTCATTTACTGACTACTCAGATAAAGGGGATAAGACAAAATATCTAGGATAGCTTCTGGGTGCCTGGCTTTTGGATACAAATTAAGATACATAAGGGAAAGGATAGATTTGGGAGAGAAAGTGGTATCTACATACATAGGGAACCTGGGGCGCCCACAGGGGCCCTGCAACAGAGACTTGCAGAGGGCCCAGGGTCAGAAGAGCAATCTGGGCTACTGGTGTAGGCAGTGTAGAGTGTGGTGCATGCAGGGGAAGAGGGCAATAAGAAAGCTAAAGACCAGCAATTAAAGAGCAGACCCAGGAAGGAGGAACAGAAAATAGCTTAAACAGGCACAGCCAGAGTGGCTTATTTATGCATCTTTAGGTTTTCACCTTCAAGATGTAATTCCTTCTGAGAGGTCATCCTTGACCTCCTCAGTTTATGCTAGGTAGCACTTTGTGCCCTCATATCACCTGGGGCTTGTCCTCACGATCACATTGAACACATCATACATAAGATGCCTAGTCAGAGAAAGAAGTATGTTTTGGTTATGATGGAACCTCCTGGGTCTAACAAGGTGCCAACTAGGTGCATTGAATTTCTGTTGTTATTGTTGAGCAAACTGTTACCTTTGATAACATTTATTATCTTTTTTTATGCGTGTGAGGTGCCATTTCCTCAATGTGATTCTAAGAGAAAAAAAAAACCCATGTCATTTACTTGTTTATAAAGCTGGCGAATATCACACTTCCTACAGGGACAGCATTCTCCATAAAAGTGCCCCGATGGTGACAGCATGAACGGAAGATCTGATAACCTGCCACTACTTTCCAGCGAGTAGGTTCTGCCCACTGATTTTACTGTGCTCCTCACTCTCTGAGTTCTCTTCTCAGCTGAGCGTTTTTGCTTTCTCTTCCCCCTCCTTTGAAAGCATAGTAACTTGGATTTTTTTTTAAAATATTACTGTCTGGTAAGTATTGAAATATTTACATTTTGCAGCAAATTTGGAAACAAACCAAAGTTCCAGAAACTCTACTTTTAAACCTCTTCCCCAGCAATCTATTTTCATTTACATGATTTTACTGACTTTCATAACAATGTTGTGAAATGAACAAGTTAGGAAGTAGGATCCTAGTTTATACAAGAGGAAGTGGTGTTGCGGAAGACTAAGTAAATGACTGGGCAAGCTTAGAATCAGGTAACATTTTTCACTAGCCAATGACTACCATATGAAGAATCTCTGAAGACCAAGATGTTTTCCAACATATAAAATTTTAAACACTAATGATTAACTCATTCTGGACACCAAGTTAAAACTGGATTACACTGACTCACACTTTTAAATTCAATTAACTTCTCTAACACTTCCCTTCATTATATGATTTTGCATGTACAGATTCAACTTGTAAAGTGGGCTTACCTTTCAGTGTCCATTTCTGATATGTGCCCAAGAAAGCTCTATATGCAATTCCCTGATCACAGCGAAGATAATGGCTATGGACATATTTGCAAGAAACAGCCAAACAAGCTGGTTGACTATATCTTTGCTGAATTATAAGAAAAATTAATTTGAGTATATAACATTGAGTACCAGTTAATGAAAAGCTATTTTTAAGGGGTCTATATTACAATGTATACCTAACGAAGTGATTTAGATATATTTTCCATTTGTGTGCTTTTTTTCTCTTGTAGGCAAAATAAGCAACAGGAATTTCTATGAAAAAGCCTTAGAAATGAAGAAATACTGTAAGTATTATAATTATAACCATCGTGCACTTGATGTAGGGTGGCATATAGTTACCTACAGATGTCAAAAGTGACAGAGGACACTATCAATGGCTTTGCTGTGACAACAGGTGCAAATGCGAGCACTCTGGGTAAACCCAAACTTTAGCCCACTTTGCAATCAAATCTTACGGCAGAGCATATGATCTCTTCAATCTATTCATTACTTCATACATACAGAATGCTGATGCTTTCTTAGTTTAATCAAGTTGGACAGGCACTCTTGGGCTGCAATTTCTGCCCCAAAGCTGCTTCTTCCTCACTTGCTTCAAAGCTGTACATCCTAAATGGTAGTTCCATAAAATGTTCTTTGGCATTTTATCTCTGGCTTACACCAAGTCATGCTTCAGAAACCTACTATTTGCTTTCCTTTATAGAAGATGCTGAGGACATTCTTTTAACATGATCACTAGTGTACTTTCTTATTTATCAAGAACTTAGGCAGAAGTCTGATTTTCCTAGAATGACATTTTCTTCTTAAGGACAAAAAGGCTTTTACAGACTGTTAGGGACAGCTGTTAGTATCTCAGGGGAATTTGTGTTATGCCATTTACAACAACTGGAGCCTCAGTTTCCTCATCTGAGTAATGGGGGAAATTTAACAGTATGTACTTCATGGTGCTATTGTGAGAAATATACACATAATACCTCCATGAGTCTGATGTAACCGTGATATCAGAAAACACAGAAATAAAACAGTTCAATTTTATTAACTACATATGTGAATTTGATAAGCTTTTCTTACTAACTTACTATTTAGTTCATATTCTATTTTCCATAATCCTGATTTTCATTTCTCTACTTTACTAAATACTCTTAGGATGCCTCTAATCCAGTAGTGGCAAACTTATTGCAAGTGTGTTGTTATGTTTTTCTTTTAAGACAAAAGATTATCTTCTAAACTAAAATCTCAGTATCCAGGTTTAATTGCAGTGTTGGCACGGTGCAGAAAGTGTGTTTTGGGTTGCAGTTTGGCCACTTGTCTCTAAAAGGTTCGCCATCACTGCTCTAATCCTTTCTGAAATAAAGAGGAAATTAAATGAACAATAAAACATTCTCTTTCACATCAATTCTATAACAGAGGATTCCCTGATTTAGAATGGTCAGTATAAACCACATAGCCCGTTTCATTCTTCTAGGACTGTCATGTGTATTAGATTCAAAAACATTTTAAAATGCTGGTTTAGAGGTCTCCAGAAAGAAAATATTTAATTATTAACCATTAGTGGTATTAAAATATTTATATGCCTTTTAGTTCTACTTAATTGAATTTGGCAGAAAGGAGCGTAACGTAGGCAGTACTCTATTTGGCATATAACAGCATTACTGGCTTTTCTGAAAAAATACGGTTTCAGACGCATCCTTCTTCAGAGATCCTGTATCAATGATGAGGGACCTTTTAGAGACCGAGTGCCAAACTGCAACCTAAAATCCACTTGTTTATCACAAAATGCCAAACTACAATTAAAACTGAATACTGAGGTTTTAGATCAGAAAAAACAACTCACATATTAACATCGTTTGTCTTAAAAGAAAAACATAGTAACACACCTGCCATAGGTTTGCCACCATTGCCTTACGTGGATGTGTCTGAAAAATCACTTGTTTATTAACTCAACATTTTTATCTTCAGCTACTATAAAGAGAAACAAAGACTATGTCTCAAAACGGTATAAAATAATCTATGGCATACATTATTCCCACAAAACACATACACACACACACACACACACACACACACAATTTCCTACAGGTCTGGGCTCCATCTTACACACCGTGTGGTACATTTGGTGAGAGTGCAAGGCACTGAACCATACCACCCGTCCTTCTGCAAGGCTGCTGTCTTCACAGCTCAAGGAAAAGGCATGGGAAACACTTCCTGATGAACAAGCAAATGAATGTTCTAGGATGTGGAAGAGAATTATATTCATGATTTTACCTGATCTGTCCACGGACCAGAGGTCTATTTTTTGTCCTATTCATGTTTGAGTCAAACGGCACCTCAAAAAACTGTAAAAAGAATGAAGACAGAAAAGATTAAATATAATATGAAATAATTATTTTCTTTTCTTTTAGCATAAAAAAGTTTCCCACCATAAACTTTGCTTTAATTTTGATAGCACGAATTTACACCTCAGAACTTCTTGAAACAAATTTCTCTGACAAAGGCAAATTTTAAAAACCAGTGTGTGCATTAATTGTCAGGAATATCCACATTCACCCACTTTGAAAGCCACTGGTGAAATGTGTTGTTATAGTTTTCAAAGCTATTGTTTCAGGTAAAGCATTAACGCCGTAAATGATTTCGGAAGGCTTTGTACATCCTGAAGCCTGTGACTCGATCAGGAACCACTGGGCTCTAGAGCAGAGGGCATGACTAGGAACCCAGATGAAACTGCACAACTGTGGAGCTGCACTGTAACTAGAGTAACAGTCCTGGTGGGGCTGAGACAGTTCTAGTGTCCACCCACAGTGTCAGCCTCATTACTGTCACTACCGTTCACTCTCAGAGAACCCCACCTTGAATAAAAGGTTGGCACAGTCACTCTAACAACGAAAGATAACAGTTTTTACTGTTTACCTATTAAAAGACAAAGCCCAGGGGATTATCAAAACTCATTTTCCAAAGCCTTGATAAACTGCACAACATATTCTCAGATTTGTTATCAAGGTCATTCTCCACCTCTTTTCATACAATAAAGTATGATTAAAAAATCTGATAGGATTATATGAGAATATCACTGACAAAATGAGCTTGAGGCAAATCAGTAGACAAAACAATAACACAACACAAGCTTTGAGGCAGTATTTCCTCAACTATGTTCTGGAACAGCCCCTGGAGTTGCTCACAGAAAGGACTTGATGTCAGGTCGCAGTAATACCATCAGGGTTCAGAGAAATCCCAAAGTGAAGAAATCTAATTAATGTTGCTTAGCCAGTGTTTCTCAAACTTATATGACCATGAAATCCTTTTTTCAGAAAAACATGTTTAAAAGATTTCAGATATGTCTATCCTGAGTATATTCAAGTGATAAGAATCATTTCTTACTCATGTTTGTACAAATCATAGCCTTTTGTACAGTGCATTATAGTCATATGAGTTTTAATCTATTAATGTTAAAAATACTACTGCTAAAAGAGACGTAGTCTAGAAGTAATACTTTATTGCATTATACTTTTGTAAGTCATTTAGTACTATCTACTAACAAGTTAAATGTTAAGATTAAAGATGACTTTATTCTGAACTATTTGAGCAATTCAGAATTTATCCTTTTAAGTTAAGATATTTGGGAAGTTGTGTTCTCGCAAATTTTCTAAAAAAAATTGACACATGGTACATTTAGCCTCATACTATAAAACTGTCTTTACTTTCAACTGTTTTTGAAAAATGTCTTAATAACCCTAAGCAGACTGACATCTTCAAATATAATTACTTTTATAATTCTCTCATTTATTTACTTTTATTTCTTTGAGACAAAATCTTACTATGTTACTCGGGCTGGCTTTACACTTTGTCTCCACTTTCTGAGTAATGGGGACCAATGGGGCGGGCCACATGCCTGGGGTTCTTTTCTGTGTTCACTTTGCTGACAACACTGTGCAGTTATTCATGATGAAGACTCTCAGTCATTTACAGTATGAGGTAGGCCTAGTTCTTGACACTTGGCTCTTAATGACTACCCAGTTATAGTTCACTTAGCCAATGGTCAGGTACCTGGAATCTTCAGACCTTTAAAATAAAACCACACACCAATTATAACCACCACTATTCCCTCAACAACATTAAGAGATCATATATTATATATAATTATAAGACTAATAGATAGTCTTCTCCTGCTGGCTGGCCTTTATGATGGATGGGCTATGCATAGTAAGCATTTTACGTGCCTTATAAAAGGAAGTACACATTGGGCTTGAGTTTTCAGAGCTTCCTTGTTACTCTGGCAGCCCAAGCACATAGCTGTAGTCAAAGCAAGAAATGAATGTTAATGTTAATAAAATATTAAAGTAAAAAAGAAACTAAATGCTGGGGAATATGCACGGCTTTATTTGCATTACCATGGGCATGGCTGCGTGAGAAGGCCCCAGACAGGGTTTTCATCATTCTATATTCTAAACATGAGTACACACGTGTACAACTGCTCTAACAGGATAAATGTGTATGATACTACCTCTTTTTGAAATCACAGTCTTCCTTGACTGGGGTGCACTACTTCATAGCCATTTTCCTGATCCTACCTTTTCCCCAGTACTCTGTGGGCTCACCATGGACCCACTGTGCCCCACACAATAGAGACACATAGGTCAGTTAGATTCAGCTTGCTTTCATGAATTCACTCTATTGCAAGTGTCAGCAACTACTTTCTGTAAGGCCCACAAGCTAATAATGGTTTTTATATTTTTCCAATGATTGGAAGATATATGAAGATTTTTGTGACATATGAAAATTATATGAAAGTCAATTTTTAGTATCCATACAATGTTACTGGGATTCAGCTACACTCATCCGTGTAGCTCAGTGTACTGCCCTGGCTGCTGCTCTCACACACCATGAACTGGGATTTCTTACTGCACAGCTGGGTATCTGCAAGAGCCTATGTGGCCCACATACCCTGAAATATTTATTGTCTCGCTCTTTACAGGAAAAGCTTGCAAACCCCTAACACACTAGAAAGACTGAAATATAAGCACTTTGTTAGCTATAATATATACAGAACAATGAGAGATGTGCAAAGGATTACAGGACCCCAGAGAATGAGCTCTGAGGCCAGCTGCGCAGGTAGGAAAGAGGAGGTACCACTATATACAGATACAGAAGATCAGGCACCTCTCCAGAATTCTTTATTTTCTACTCAACATACAAATTTTTCCTCTATGACCTATGTAAAAAATCATAAATTGCCTTTGATGTTTTTCTCTATTAGTTGGCCAACTATATTCAATTCATTACCAACTCCTGAGAATTTGGACTTCACAAAATCTCTCAAATCTATCCTTCCTATTACACTGTACGACTTCACTACTATGAAATCACAGCACAACTACTGGATTAAAGGTATTTAATGGTCTCCTCACTGCTCACTCCCCAATGAGCTCTGAAAAGTCCAGATTCTTTCAAAGTTACATTGTTCAAAGGCTATGTCTAGTTAGCTACATCAGTATTTCTAATCTTATCATTTACTTTATTTCTATTTCCTGGTCACACCTGTCACTGTCTTATAAACACATCAAACTCTCCATGGGAGTTGGGAGATTCAGCCAGTTTCTGACTTTGAGGCTGGAGAGAACATCTGATGTGCGGAGCCTTAGGTCAATAGTAGTGAATAAGAACAATTCCTCTACCAAAGCTGCCAGGAGGACTTAAAAAGACAATATACAATGAAGTGTTATAGCATACCAAGGAAAAGGATTCAGGTCATTTCTCCTATGTCTGCCGCTGCTGCTGAGACTGACCTGACCCCACAGCTAACAAATGCCACCCACTCTTCATGACTAAGTTCAAATTCAACTCCCCAAACTGAAGCTTAAACTTCATCTTTTCCTTTCAATCCTCCAGCACTTGCTGGAACTTAGTGGAAGGAGTATGTAGTTCTTTTTATGTGAAGTTAAACTCATGGCAAGAGTTACGGAATCTAGAAGATAGAAGGTCAACTAAATAAATCTGTTTATGATTTCAAAACATAGCATTGCCACCTTCACTGGTAAATAAAAATACAGGTTTGTTCATTATTAGACTTGATCTTTATTTTCTAAAAACAACTTTGCTGAGGTAAAATTCACATGAAATAGCTTACATAAATTTATAGTATATCATTTAATAAACTTCAATACCTACCACAATCAAGATACTGAACATATCCACCACCCACAAAAGCTTCAGGGTGCCGCATTCACCCCCTCACTCTTGGCCTTAGTCATTAAACTGTTTTGTGTCTCTAATGATTCTTGGCATTTTCTAGAGTTGTATATAACCTGCATCATATGTGTACTACTTTTGTTTAGTTTTTTTTTTTCACTCAGTATAACTTTGATAGTCATTATACTGCAGAGTACATTGATAATTTATTCTTTTTTTTGGCTGAGTAATGTTTAATTAAATGGCAGTATCACCATTTGTATATCCCTTTCATTTGTTGAGGAATATTTGTTTTTTGTGGAATATTTGCAATCGTTTTCTACTGTTATAAAAAAAGCTGCAGTGAACATCTGTGTATATCTTTGTGTGGACATATGCTAACTTACAAAGTTAAATACAAATAAATCATACAGTAGACAAGTATTTAAGTACTTATGAGACTGTCAAGCTGTCTCACAAAGTGGTCATACCATTTTACATTTCCACCAGCAGTGTATAAGCGGTCCAACTCTAGATCCCCGAAGAACAAAGTTTTGGGTTATCACATGTAATAAGGAGCCACAACCTTCCAAGTCTTGCCCAGGACAAAGAAACATAGAATGGCTAGCAGAAGAAACTGGTTATAAATACCAATTATAACTCTGTGATCAGCTGAAGAAACAGAGAAAATGTAACAGCTATGGGTATTTTTTCTTATTTTGATGTAACTATCTTTGCATATATAAATGAATTTTACTCCTCTTACTATTTAAGCTATATCAATAATATTTAGTTTCATATCTCAGTATTTAAATTATATAGAATTAAGGAGCTTAAAGAGAAATGTATAGCACCCACAGATGTATAATTTTGCCTTCTTTGGAGGGAAGTAGATTAGTGATACTTTTGGTTGTACGAGGGACAGTTCAATCATGTTAAGCATAAACATGACTTTCTATTGCTTATTTGGAAGTGAAGAGTTGGGAAGGTGTGCCTGCAGGCCAAGCTAAGCAGGATGAACAGTGATGGTTTTGTGCTGTGCCAACCTAGAACTGCACTGCCCAGAATTCCCCTTTCCTGAATGGTTTTAGGTTAGAGACAGCCACAAAGAACTCTGCAGGAGATGTGAATGGTGAACATGAAGTACCAGCTCGTACAAGCTGTGGATCTGTTA